TTATCTTCATTTATCAGTTTTATATTGATTGTCTATTATGCACAAGGAATTATGCCTTGGATTAATGGGTTATATTGATATGATATTGACCTTCAAAAGTTTCCAAAATATAAAGGAGATAAGACATAGAGATGTAACCTCAATGCAGGCTCCACAGGGCAACTCGATTACACTCCATACTGTGTATAAGGTTCAGAGAGAGCAAAAGAGTGGAAAATAAGGGAATAGAGAGAGCAAAATCATGAAGGTGGGAAAGGACAATAATATTTAGGAATGAGGCATACACTGATTTAATGTGGTTGAGGGTTTCAAGTTGGGCTACATTGTAGTGCTTGTTGAATGCCTGCCTGAGAAACATAGATTATTCTGTAAACAGAAAGAAGCTGTTGAAAAATTCAGAGTAGAATCATGATCCTGCTAAGAAGAGAGAGGAAAAAGCTGAAGAAGAGAATGTAAGAGCTTAGATAAGAGGTAGTAAAAACCAATCTGCCCTTGACCTGGGGATTGGCATTCTTCTCACAAACTTTCTTGACATTTAGCACTTCTTTAGATTTCCTGTTCACATCCATCCTTCTCTCCTTTGATGTTCCTGTTGGGTAGGTCTTCTTTCCAAAGACCTGAACTTTCCATTACTCTATTTCCCTTTCTGATGCTCTGAAGAATTGGGAAGACTGGCTAACTGCATCTTGCTGCTGCAACTGTCCTTCCCTCCGATGGTGTACATGAGGGAGCCCTCACCTCTACAGGATTTATGCTTTATCCAGCCACATACAATTCTGCTTAGATGCTAATTCAAGTAAATTCAGACTTTTTTTTTCTGAGAGTTTTACTTTGAAACCTTCTCTGTTCCTCTGCCCTGAAGAACTCAGTTGGGCAATGTAGAAACCCCAAGATCTTTTTCCCTTTCCCTTAAAGCCTTATGTATAGCTAAGTTGTCATCTCTGGTCCTTCGACCACTATCAGATCTCCAGGGCTGAAGGCATACAGCAACAAAAGGGAATACCTTGTTCCAAATCTTTCTAAATTAAGAGAGTGCGGGAGCAGGAAGAGAGCTTTGGTAATTCCCTGATTCTTTCTTCCCAAAGGTTCCATTGCTACCCCTGAGCAAGGGTTTGCTGGGCATTGCTGCAGAAGGCTCTTTTAGGTTCTTGGTGGAACTTTCATGTCTGTGTTTCCTGAGGAGGTTAGAGTGACAAGGTCAGGTGAATGGAGCAAATGATCTACACTAATAAAAGAGAAACATGGTAATTGGCGTACGACCGCTACCCTTTTCATTGGCTAATCAGTGAGTATATGCAAATTAACTGTCAGCCAAGATGGCGGCCGGCAGCCAGGCACTGAAGCGAGCACGAGGCTTGCTTGCTGCAGATTCCAACGTTCTCCGCCTAACTTGCCAGCCTCTCAGTTGCAACTCTAAGCAACTATATACTATGTTGCAAATAAGAAGCTAAACAAAACCCCAGAAAAGGGCTTCCATTCAGCCGGGCTCAGACCTCAACATTGTATCTATGTTTTCAGCAGCAAGGCCTCAGAGCTAAAGCTGGCCCAGAAAAAAAAAAAAAAAAGAGAGAAGAAAACAAGGAGCGGTTGGAAGCTTTAGTC